TGTCGCAGTAATTGTTGAAACAAAATTTATTTCATCCATTTCATAAAACATTTTTTCTAATTGATTTAAATTCATCAAGCTGTTCATTTTAATATCCATAATATTCAAAATCAATTCTTTTATCATCCTTAAATGAATAACACCAAAAATAAATAATCTTCCAAATTCTTTCAGCAGTTGGACATTTATCTGGATTAGCATCCATGCACCTGAATGCTAGTTCAACATGTAATTTTAGTGTGCTATTTGAAAATCCTGGTCTTACACCTTCACATATTTTCATTGCAAGGTCTACATCATGTACCAAATTATTAAAAGGTTCCTCTCTTAAAACTTCTAGTATAACATATGGTAGCACTCCAAATATATATCATGGTTATTTGATGCAGATGTTAAACCAACAATTAAACCTATACTAACTGATTTCTGTAAAGAATTAACTGGTATATCACAGGTAAATAAAAAAGATTTTATAAATATAAACATATTAAATTAAATTACATTCATATTTATAATATGTTTAGGAAATAACAGATGTTAGTCCAACGTTTCCTGAAGTACTTGATAAATTTCAAGAATTTTTACATAGACATCAAGTAATTAATAGTAAAGATTTATTTGAAATAAATTTCAAAAACTATATTTAACAAATTGTTTCACTCAATCACTCACATATAGCTGAATAATTCAAAGAGTTTTGCATTCATGACAGATGGTATTATTTTTTTCCTCATCATCATTTTAATTTTATCAAATTTTTTCTTAAAATTTACTAACAATTTATGAATAGGACCATGGGACATTCGAGATTTCATTAGAAAACAATGTACGATTTCAAATATATCTCGACCAATTTATTTTAAAAGCCCATGGGTGAACATAAGGAAATTATATTCAGACTTTTATAAGATTAAAAAGTGTAACATTTCCACAATGTTGACAAGATATGAATTAAATTTTGAGGGACATGAACATTCAGGAATCGATGATGCCAGGAATTTGGCAATTATAGTAAAGAAAATGTGGGAGGATGGTGCTATTTTTATACCCAATTGTTATTTAGATTATAGAAAAACAACTAGAAAAAAAAAATGCCGTAATAAATAATAATTGTTGACTAATGTGATAAAATTTAAATTTATTGTATGCTTTGATTTTTGAATTTTTATATTGTTGAAAAGAGTAAAAAAAGCATTACTACCGATTTAAATTTTAAAGAGGATATTAAAGAAGCGAGTCTTTATAATGATATTTAGACGTATTCCATTTATTAGGTCAAACTGCAACAGACGAACTTGCGTTACTTTCTTGAGTTTGTTGTTGTAGTTCTCTCTCTTTTTCTAAGGGAAGTAAATATTTTTCATAATAATCTTTTTCTCGTTTGAAAAGTAAAATATGTGGTTCAGGTGCTAATAATATATGGTGATGATAACATATTATTAAATATTATATTTTATGATCTGCTATTATTACCATTACTATTTGATTGATATTATTACCATGAATCAAATAATGTTCCCATCCTTTTGATTGTTGTACACCAAGAGCTCTCCATTCATCTTCTATCATAAGTCTATCACGTGGAACATGGAGTGAAATTTCTTTAGGTAAAATGACATGTCTAAAATGATATTTATATTAATATTTTATTATTTTTTAATGTAAAAAAGGAAATCAACACGAAAATCACATTAATATTCACCTGTATTCAAACAAATCATCTATTTTTTAATAAAATTATGTGAATGAATGTATATAAGAAAGATATATAAATATAAATACAAATATAAATAAATATATAAATAAGATATAAAAGAGAGATATATAAGCACAAACCATAATATTTGTCAGAATATTCGATTTCATTTTGATATTTATAAATAAAGTATGCTCTGATTTCTTCAGATTTGGGAGGTTGACTAAAATAAAATACTGGTTCAACCCTACAATAACAATAATGATTATGATGATAATGATATAATATTTTTTTAAAAAATTGTTTAATAAAATAATAATTTATTGAATACTCACTCTTCTTCTTCTTGCTGATGTGGTTCTGGATGCTGTGCTTGTTGCAATTGTTGTTGTGGGTGCTGTGCTTGTTGCAACTGTTGTTGTTGTTGTGGATACTGTGCTTGTTGTATTTGTTGTGGATTTTGGAATTGTAAAGGTTGTTGTGCCTGTTGTGGATACTTTAATTGCTGCGGATGTTGCAATCTTTCGCGTTGCAATTGTTCATGTTGTAATTGTAATTGTTGACGTGCTTGTTGTAATTGTTGTTGCGTTTGTGGGTGTTGTCGTAAATGTTGAGCTTCTTGTTGTCGCATATGTTGTATATGTTGCACTTGTATCTGGATTTGCTGATAAATATGTTGTTGTTGTTGTATTTGAAAAGGTTGTTGTTGTTGCTGGATATTTGAACACCGTTGATGATTAATGTTAAACTGCATGTTGATAGCCAGAAAGTAAAAAAAACTTAATAATAATAATAATGTTGTTTTGACAGGAAGGAAGACGTAAAAAATTTTTTTTTCCTAATATGATTTTTTTAATATTACTGTAATGTGAAAGAAATTTATAATTTATGATAAGCTTAACTATTAACATACTATATAACGTAAATGACGAAATCATAAATATGTGTTAATATTAATATGTACATAATACACGCGATTATTGTGGCCGAAATCAACCCTAGATTCATTTCCGACTGGGTTTCGGCATCTCTAGAATTCCAAAGATAGTAATAAATTTACTAGAATTTAGCCGCAACCCTGGGAAAATTTATTCCATTATTGCTATTACCATAGTTTTTAGTTTCAGCTAAATCTCGGGATTGATTTTTATGGCCGATACTCACGTGAGAAGGTTTCGGACACATGTATAGTGTGATTATTATGATGTTATTGTTTCTCATTTTTTTTAATCATTCGATATTCTCCATAATTGGAATGATTAATCCAAAAGTGTGTTACTAGGCTGTTATCAAAATTTCTTTCGTTGAGGTATCTTTTTCTTTGCATACACTTGTCAGGATCTTCTTCGACTTACTATTTTTATATATTCCCTTAGTCTCTGTCTTGCATTTTTTAGATAAGTTTCTCTTTTCTAGAGGGCACAAGATGCATTTTTCAAACAGTTTTCTTCATTGCCAGCATTCATTATCCTTATTATTATTATTATTATGATTATACCAACACTGTAATCGTTTCTCAAAAAAATTTTCCGATGGTTTTCTAAGGGGCCTTTTCTTCTCTTTGCGTCACCTGTTACTCTTGATTGACTCGTTCACATCAAATCACTGGATTGAAAGGTTGTAAACACTAATCACAAATGACTTTGATTTTCCGGCCCTCTGTTTTATTTATTCATTGATGAACCAGTAAAGATGGTAAAAGTTGTTATTTGACATATATATCCTTCTTATTTAAATTTTATAAGGGATTAATAAAATAAATGTGATAAATAAAATCACTGCGACTGTCACTATTACGAAAGGTCAATAATAATAACAAACTACATTTAATTGTCTATGAGTGAGCAACTTAATCCACCAGGTAAAGTTTTTTACAAGAGATTCATGAATGAGAACCAGGAACCCATTCCATCACGATAAGTTAATGAATGTGATAGTTGAGTGTGTGCAGCAGTATCATTACTTGATGATCAAGGAATCGAGATACATGCAAGAACCTTGTTTCGCTGTATACTTGACAGCCCGTTCCCATCAAACATACCTGGGCCTGAAACTATGACCACATTAAGCAATTTAAGCTTACGATTCTCTCAAAGTCTGTTTTATCCACGACCACGCAGAATTGAGATTTTTTCTAAAGATGAAGGTGTTATCATTGTGTGAGTATTTTAATTATTATTTAGACTTAAAACATTCAAATAAAATATGTGCTATGTAAATATATAATTAATATAATAATCAAGTTCTTCAAGCCTTCATATCTTCTTTAATGGATTAAAAACTGTTTAAATATTGCGACTCAATCAAAATATCACCTTTGAAAATCCATCAATGGTTGCACAAATGTTTTTCAAATAAAACATTAAGATATTGTGCGTGCACATTAAGTAATTAAACAATAGGTTGGTACCAATTAATTCATTAGTCGGATTTTAAGACTGGATTTCTTAAGGAGTTTCTGGATGCTGAGAATATCTATCTAGTTTATGATATGACTGGTTTACAAGAATTACTTATGATTGTTCATGGACTTCCATGTGTTATAATTAAAAAAATTATGGAACCAATCAAAAGAGTTTTTGGTGTCTTCATCTTCCGATGCTTTATTATCAAAAATTACTTTCATTAACTAGCCAGAATCCAATTAATCCCAATGTGCTAGAATTAGAATTGATTGGATCAAGAAATTTACAAATAAAATACATGGTAATGATGAATGTGAGTTATCTTGAACTACTTTTATACTTATTAAAAAAAACCCATTAGCGCTCAAGTGAAGATTCCCTGCTTCTGAAATTCAAAGATTATTGGAAAGAAAACAAGGGTCATTATTGTGAGCAATTCAATCAGAATATCGTAAATGTAAACATCTAAAAGTATCCTACCAAAAAGTTTTTTTCCACTTCTTCAGCAGAAAGGCGCCAGTTAAAATAACGAAAATTGCTATTTAATAAAATGGCATTTAACATTTTTGTGATTTCTGCAATCATACGTTGACTTCATTACTGTGTTTAATAATACCTAATTTCACCAGTAAACCCTGGAGTAAATGCTGATCCAATATGTAGTGGTCCTGTATTGAACAGAACCTTTTGCGTCCGAACATCCTCAATGCTATGGAATCCGACCCATGAACCATCTATATAGAAGTCTAACCTCTTTTCAGAATCAGAAAGGGTGTAACTTATATGGTGCCATTTATTCAATGAAAGATCAGCGGTAGTCTCCTCAATTCCAACATTGCAATTCCAGTTACCTGAAAAACGCACATGCATTGTAGTTTTGTTTGGCCACAACCAGAGTGAAGGAGTACGGATGTCATTTTCAGTGCCTAAAGGTGCGTGTATTTTATTCAATTTGAAAAAGTGTCAGTTTAAACAACTAATAAACAAATAAATAATCACATTTTCATGCAAAAAATCAACCTTTATGAAAAATGCAGGCCCAATCAGGATAGATAATTTGAAGTTTCAGATTTAGTGTCACTGAAAGCTCATTGTTTACCACAGGCAATTCATCATGTTGTACAATTCTATTTTCAGAACCAGTTAGTAAAATGGGATCAGATATAATTTCATGGAACTCTTTTACAACAACTTTCTTCATTTTTGTGAATTGAAAAAAAACCAGTAGATTGATAATTCAACAAGTTGCAAACATGTCCTTTTTATACAAAATAAAAGATTGTATGAAATACCCCATTTTAGATGATAACAAGTTTATGAACAAGAATACGATGTTGGGTGGCTAGTCAAATATGCAATATTTATAATAATAAATTTCAAAGTAAATGAGCCTCGTTTAACCGAAATTACATCACATACTCATTAAGTGGTGGTCCGCAGATCCGGGATATTGAATTAAAAAAACCCGCTTTTGGATTTTTAGAAATATAATGATAAATTATTTTTTTTAATAATGATCATTTCAATTATTATCTATACTTTGATTTACATTATATTTACCAACTTTCATTGAAATGGAAAACAATTTTCTTAAATAGTAAAAGTATACATTGCGCATTGTAAAAGGTTACATGAATAGAAGTTTGCGGATGAGGTTTAGTTACTTCTGCTTTTGATAATTTTTGAATTTGCATCTGAGAAAATTTTTCCATTCACTCACGTTAGGTAAAGGTCCAGCATATTGACCTTCTGCCAGCCATTTGGATATACCAGCTATTGTATTTATTTTTCTTTGATTTTTTCTCGATATGTTATCAGGTTTGCTACTGAAATATACTCTGGACTCATTCAATTCCTAAATGTCTATAGAAATTATTTATTAATAAAATTATTTCTTTGAAAATAAATTTTTTTATTAGATAATCAGGCAAATAAATCAGAAGCCAGTAATATAATGGTTCAACCATACCAAATATCACGAGCCATTTTAATCCATAACAATATATAGTAATAGCATTTTTGAAAAGAATGAAGGCGGAACAAAATTTTCTAAAAAATAATTACCATTTTACAAGGTTTTTTCACACAGGTAATGCTATACAAAGTTGGTTCACTTGTTATTCTGCAGCATGCAAAACTGAATTAATAATAATAACAATAAATAATTCGCAATAAAATTTTTTTTTTGGATTTAAAATAACAAAATTCATAAAGTAATGAAATAATAGAAATACCATTACCATTAAAGCTAGCTACAATTTTTTTTTTAAAAATGTTGTAATTTTATTATTTTTTTCATAAAATTCATATATGTATTTTACATGGAATCCATGATTGCCCAAGAGTAAAACATAGTTTACGCGTAGTTTGGTAATGTCCATTACCAAGACGGTTACCACGCGTAAAATATTCCCAGATATCACTATATTTTGGACCAAGTTTGTTTTTGTTATCAATGGCAGAATTCATCTTTAATTATTATAAGAAAAATATGAAAAAGAAATGGCAAAGAAATTGTTATAACTAGAAAGTAAGGATAGATAAATATTTATAACAAATATTACAACATTGTGGTTAGTAAATCTGGCTTTGTAACACCATAATACGCAATTTTGCATTACCAACTTTAATTTATGTATGAACAAAGGAGGCAATTTCTCCGTTCCAGTTGTATTGCGTGCAAGTAGAACTGTTACTCTATTTTGTCTTGTGTTGTTCCCGAAAGTAGTCCAGTTGATAATCCATGTGTCGGCTTCAATTTTCAAAAAAGATCAATTTCATCACAATTGAAATATTGTCTAATTGGTATTCTCAAAGGACATTTTGCAAATTTCTTCTCATTTCTGGAAGTTGTCCAATAGATGCACTTTGTGCTTCGCCATGCTTAGGATACTCGCGGATTGAGTATCTCTATTTAAGATCGTATAAGCAACCAGTAGACTTATTAAATTTTTGATTATTTAACAATTCAGCAATTTTGTCTAATAATAGAATTTTTAATTAAAATATCAGCGGATGGTGTGACAATGATCTTTAATATATCACTGTACTAATTCCATAATCGTTTGGCTAAATCATATTTTTAGTTTTTTTTCAATAAATACAACTCGCGCTTTTGTTCAGCAGTAATATATATACATGATTCTTTGATGAAAATGATTGTTCTTGAGACAATTTAAAATTTTTTTCAATTATATAGGATTTTTTTTTAATTTAATAAGATTTGATCAATTTAGAAAATTGGCTCTGATAGACAATCAAATCTATTTGGATATTAACCCCCTAACGTTGTATTCTTGTTAATAAACTTATCATTTAAAATGGGCAATTTATAATCAGTTTATTTTTTTTTCAATTCAAAAAAAATGAGGAAAGTTGTTGTGAGAGAGTTTTGTGAAATTATAGAAGACCCCATTCCCCTGGCTGCTTCTGAAAACAAAATCGTGCAACATGATGACTTGCCCACGGTGACAGACGAGCTTTCAGTGACTCTGCGTCTGAAAGTTAAAAGTATTGGGTCTGCATCTTTCTTAAAGGTTAGTTTTTGCAAGAATGGATTCTGAACATCCCCGCGAATGTGATTATTTAGTTGTCTAACACTGATAAAAAAAATCAAATTTGACTTTGGTTAAACATTTGTTGAGATGTACAGTTTTAGTTAATAAAGGATAAACTTTTGATAAAACTGAACATTTCAACAAGTGTTTAATTTTTTTTTACCAGTGTAAACTGACACTTTTCAAATTGAATAAAATACACGCACCTTTAGGCACTGAACATTACATCCGTACTCCTTCACTCTGGTTGTGTCCAAACAAAACTACAATGCATGCGCGTTTTTCAGGTAACTGGAATCGTAATGTTGGAATTGGCGAGACCGCTACTCAGCTTTCGTTGAATAAATGGCACCATATAAGTTACACCCTTTCTGATTTAGAAAAGAGATTAGACCTCTACATAGATTGTTCATGGGTCGGATACTATGGCATCCAGAATGTTCAAACACAAAATGTTCTGTTCAATACTGGACCACTGCATATTGGGCTAGCATATGATGGCAAGCTTACTGGTATTACTGGTGAAATTAGGTATTATTATCATAAAGTCGATCTACATATGATTACAGAATCACAAAAATGTTAAATGATCATTTTTATTAAATAGCAATTTTCGCTATTTTAACTGGCGTCTTACTGCTGAAGAGGTGGAGAATAACTTTTTGGTAAGATGCTTTTAAACATTTGTATTTATTGGTTATTCAGTTGCTCACAATAATTATCCTCATTTTTTTCAGAAACAAGGAGTCTTCAAATGATTTTTTAATAATAGTTAAGATTGGGTGATATTATATTAATATATTCTAAATTTTATCAAAAGATATATTTTAAAATGTTAGCTATTTGTTTTCAAATCATATTTATTAATAATATCAGTAAATAACTCAAATACATCATTGCTATATGATTTATTGAGGTTTGGGTGGTAATTTTGACAATAAAACTCCAAAGAATAGAAATATGCAAACCCGGTTATTAGTTTCATGCCACAGTCATGCAAAGTTACTCATCTGATATAATGATATAATATAAAAATATCACGAAAGAGTTATTATATCAAGTTTCATTCCTTAAATAATGCCAGGAATCACTTTAGTAAATTCAGATTTAAAGCCAATTATTGAATTAATTGATAGTTTTTTATTTTGATTACACGATTTGATTTTGGTTCACAACATCAACATGCACACACGATACTCAA